CAAGCAGCTGAGCGCGGAGGATAACAAGTTGAGGGGATTGATTCCGGCGACGATCGGCTCGATTCCGCGGCTGCAAGTGCTCTCCCTGTCGCGGAACGAGCTCTCCGGTTCGATTCCGTCGTCTATTTTCTGCAATGTTGGAGTAGGCGCCGGCGGCAATTTTTCGGCGGGAGGGCTTCGTTTTGTGGATTTAGGGTTTAATGCGCTCACGGGGATAGCTCAGCCGCCTGACGGCGGCGGAGGCGGAGGAGGAGAAGGATGTGGTGGTTCTGTTCTCCAAGTTATTGACGTTCACGAGAATCGCATTAACGGCGTGTTCCCTTCGTGGTTGACCAACATCACCGCTCTCCAGGTCGTTGACCTTTCTAGAAACTTCTTCGCCGGCGTTCTGCCGGCCGGGATCGGGAACCTTCTCCGGTTACGCGAGCTCAGGGTTGCTGGCAATTCATTCAACGGCAGTCTTCCAAGTGACATCGCCAAATGTACCTCTCTACAAGTCCTCGACGTTGGTGAGAATCGATTCTCCGGTGAGATCCCTTCCTTCCTCACCGGTTTACTTGGCTTAACAACACTGTCAATGGAAGGGAATCAGTTCTCTGGTGCCGTTCCGGCAGGGTTAAGCAACTTGGTTGAGCTGCAGATGCTGAACTTGAGTGACAACGCTCTGACTGGTAATTTCCCGGTGGAGATACTGAGTATGGGGAATTTGAGCGCATTGAATCTCGGCGGCAACACATTCGGCGGGGAGCTTCCTTCCAAAATAGGGGAATTAAAGGGATTGCAGGTTTTGAACTTAAGTGCATGCGGATTTTCAGGCAGGATTCCGGCTGCCGTTGGTGGATTGTTAAGGCTAACAACTCTTGATTTAAGCAAGCAGAACTTCTCCGGCGAATTGCCGATCGAGCTGTTTGGATTGCCGAGCTTGGAAGTTGTTTCACTGGAGGGGAACAAACTGTCAGGAAATGTTCCAGAGGGTTTTAGCAGCTTAGTTGCTCTTCAACATCTCAATCTCACCTCCAATTCCTTCTCGGGCGAGATTCCGGAGACTTACGGATTTCTCAGAAGCTTATCTGTTCTCTCATTGTCGAACAACAGCATCTCAGGCGAGATCCCGGAGGAGCTTGGAAACTGTACAAGTCTCCAGGTGCTCGAGCTTCGTTCGAATCGCTTGACCGGTGAAATCCCAGGTGACATCTCTCGTTTGTCCCGGCTAAACGTTCTAGATTTGGGGCAGAATGGTTTGACAGGGGAGATCCCTGAGGCGATAGACAAATGCTCTTCTTTATCATCTCTGCTGCTGGACGGGAATCACATTTCAGGCCGAATTCCAGAGTCATTATCGAAGCTATCCAATTTGTCCACTCTAGACCTTTCGTCGAACAGCTTGAGTGGCCAAATCCCAGCCAACATTTCATCCATCCCTAACCTCAAACACCTGAACCTATCATCGAACAGCTTACAAGGCGAGATCCCTGAGCAGTTAGCCTCACGATTTGACGACTCGTCGGTGTTCTCCATGAACGGGAAGTTATGCGGGAAGCCACTACGCAAACAATGCCCCAGCGAGAAGAACAAGAAGAGAAGGAAGCTCATTCTGTTCATAGCAGTAGTCACAGGTGGAAGCATCCTCCTAGCAATGTGCTGCTGCGGATACACTTACAGCCTCCTCCGATGGCGAAAGAAGTTGAGGGAAATGGCCGCCGGAAAGAAACGTAGCCCGGCTCGTGGAAGCTCCGATAGAGGCAGAGGAAGCAATGGCTCCAACAATGGAGGCGGAGGGCCGAAGCTGGTAATGTTCAACAACAAGATCACATACGCCGAAACCCTCGAAGCCACGAGGAATTTCGACGAGGAGAATGTTCTAAGCAGGGGGAGATACGGGCTCGTGTTCAAAGCCTCGTATCAAGACGGGATGGTGCTCTCCATCCGCCGCCTCCCGGACGGAATCGCCGTAGAGGAGAACACTTTCCGTAAAGAAGCAGAGTCTCTAGGCAGAGTGAAGCACCGGAATTTGACCGTACTTCGAGGATACTACGCCGGCCCACCGCCGGAGGTTAAGCTCCTCGTCTACGACTACATGCCGAACGGAAACCTAGCCACTCTGCTGCAGGAAGCTTCCCATCAGGACGGTCACGTCCTCAATTGGCCAATGCGGCATTTGATTGCTCTAGGGATCGCAAGAGGGCTGGCATTTCTACATTCATCAACGATTGTCCACGGCGATTTGAAGCCGTTGAACGTGCTATTCGACGCCGATTTCGAGGCGCACTTGTCCGAATTCGGGCTCGACAAGCTGACCGTGGCGTTCCCGGCGGAGGCGTCATCGTCGGCGGCGGCTGCTGTCGGCACGGTCGGGTACGTGGCGCCGGAGGCCGTCCTGACGGCGGAGGCCACGAAGGAGTCCGACGTGTACAGCTTCGGGATCGTTCTGCTGGAGATTCTGACGGGGAAGAAGCCGGTGATGTTCAGTCAGGAGGAGGAGGATATAGTGAAGTGGGTGAAGAAGCAGCTGCAGACGGGTCGGGTTTCGGAGCTATTGGAGCCCGGGCTGCTGGAGCTCGACCCGGAGTCGTCGGAGTGGGAGGAGGTTCTTTTAGGGGTCAAAGTTGGGCTGCTCTGTACGGCGCCGGATCCGGTGGACCGGCCGTCGATGACTGACGTGGTGTTCATGCTGGAAGGGTGCAGGGTTGGTCCGGAGATGCCGTCCTCAGCCGATCCGACCTCTCCGGTTGTCTGATTAAATTAGTTGATTAGCGGTACTGATTGGTGATTATGGTTATGGCCTCTGTTGATGACGAAATTTGGGCATTCTTTTAATCGAAATCTCTCCCGCCATTTCTTTGTGGTTTTTAATTGTGAGGTTAGAGAAATTGGGAATGACTTAAGCGCTCTGTCATCATCATCTTCTTCGTCTTGTTGTTAATGGGGTGTTCGAAATTTTAATTTAAGCATGATTAATTGTGATTATGATATGGCTTGTTCGTTTATTGATTCGCTTTGTTCCTGAATTTGCTCTTTGGTTGACCGGCGAGATAAGGGCAGGTGTGGAGTCCACTTCCAGAATCTGGATAGAGTAGAGAGAGATTAATTAGGGGCAAAAGTCATTAGATGAGGACAATGCCATGGACAAACTTTGAATAGCCGGTCTGTCTGTCCCACGAGTAATCTTCTTCTATACAATCGTATGAGATGAATCGTTTATTAATGATTCACATTTTCGTGTATGTGAAATTGTTGGAACTGATGATATAGAATAAGTTGTAAGACATAGTGACTGATTCTATAGTTTGTTAAAAACCAATGGTAAAGTACAAATGAAATCAAGTTGCTGGGCACCCAAAATGCATACCGGTGATTTGATGAGATTATGCTTTATTAACAAACACGGGTACGTATCCATTTGACTCCTCGACATATAATTTTCTCAACCTGTGTAGACTTAATATACGAATTTTCACCGCAATGAGATAAGTTTACAACTAAAAGATTTAGCCCCTAGAACAAATGAGGTAGCGAGCAAAGTCTCAGATTCTTGATACTCTTTTTTCTGATTTTATCCACATCTTAGATATAATTCTGAATCTCCTATAACAACCAATCGACACATACTTTCTGCTATCGCATTTCTGTTTCTTATATATGAAAGAAAGTAGTACTATTTTGATAAGTACATAACCATAAGTGATCGACATAATTTGCATTGTACCCTTTAATACATGAGCCGTTGTGCCCCCTGATTATTTTAGGAGCCGATCTGGAAAAATGAAAAGAAGCAGCATTCTAAGCTTATATTGAGTTTTTTTTATTTTATTTTATGGGGATAAGCTTATATTAAGTTTGGGGGAATCAAATTGCTTTTACAAACAATCAATGCCATTGGAGGAGTTTTTGTTTTATCCTAATAACTGATAATTAATTACTAATTAACAAATGCCCGTGGAAGGCAAGGGAAGGAAGGATGACACAGGACCCCACAACAAGTCCAAAACTCCCGCCAAAAGAAGCAATAAAAAAACCCAATGAGCAGGAGACACGTGGGGGCCAGTGCCGGTATCCAAAAAGTAGCCGTTAATGCTGCGAAGGATTTGGAGTAGGGCCCCCGGCGTGTTTTTTTTTCTTCTATTTTATTAATTAATAATTAAATTTTCTCTGGTGAACAGAAAATGAGGAGACTACGACGGAAGGGGAAGACAGGCTAATAATAAGAAATTCAAACCAATGGGCGGTCGCGTTTTGGTTCGGACATGACCCGGTACATAATCTGACCCGACCCGACCCATTTGCCACCATGCAACCGAACAGCGACCCTTCTAGGGTTTTTTTTTTTTCTAACTTCTGAAAAGCTGCGTCAGTGTATAAGTTCTGAAATGCATGTGATATTTCCCCTGGCGTTGACAGAGCTGCAGTGTCCAAACATCTTTTTTTTTTTCTGTTTCTTTTTGTATTTCACTCTGGTATGGTTGCTGTCGAGGGACCGTGGTAAGGCAGTGGCGATCATAATGCTACTGTCATCAATCAGCAGTGTTGGTCTGTTGGAATCCTTCAATTCCAGATGGGTAAAGGGTATTTGAAACGTAGTTGCAGAGTACTGCATTGAATATGGTCACTCTTCGTGGTACTTGGCTTGATTCAGTTCCCGTTCATTGATGTTATAGTCACACCAATGGTCTGGTGGCGATTGGCTCGTAATTCGGCGATTGGCTGTTTGATTTGTCGTAGATTGGACCATTGCGATGCACCCTGGACTGATATCTGATGCATTGCTCAAGTTGATCTCACTGTAAGAGTATAGGAAGTAAAATGGCTAAACTCAGAATGAGATGAAACTGGGATGAGGTTTGATTTTCAAAAAATGGGGTTCAATCTAGTTGGGATTTGGGGTTCACGTTCTTTTTCACCCCATTCATTCTGTCATATGAGTTCTGCAGGTTACAGAGCTTTGTGGGGGCCGAGCTTCTGAAATCAATGGAGGGACTGGGGCTGTCCTCTCTCCTTGGCAGCAGTAATAAAGCAAAAAGAGTAAAAAGACAGAAGAAACGGATGAAAAAGATATAGACGCAATAGTCTTTCTTTCACAACTTGCATGCATCACTGTCAAAATCTTTTCACTGCCAAACTTCCCAAAATTTTACATTCACTCTTTTCACCTGGGGACCTCTGGGAAATGGAAGTCACTTTTTTTGTCCGTTTCAATTTGTTGTAATGACTTTTATTGGATCTCAGAATCTGAAGCATAAATAACATCATACAGCAAGGGTACACTACACTGGATACAAAATGTTGCAACTTTAAACTTGAGGTGTATACACAACTTGAGAAATAAAAAATGGATTAAGATACAGAAGAAACCTCCTACTATACCAAGGTAAGATCTTCAGGAAGGGATTCGCTATCCGGGTTGCTAGAGATGAACTTTCTGCAGGCGTAGAGCACGGCTGAATGGAACCCAACTGGGTTGTCTATGAACACAAAGTGCCCTCCCTGCAAATTCAGCGGTTATCAGATCACTGTCTGATAGAGAGAAGCGGAGAGAAGGCGAGAAAGGGAGAGAGAGAATGCACACCTGAGGAACCCTGATGATTTCACAAGGGACTTTCATCTGCTTGCGAGCTTCTTGAGCGCCTTTATAGTTCATCCAATCCTGAACTCCATATATGAATGTCGTGGGTACTTTCCACTCTGACGCCCTGAATCACAATTGAGATTTAAGGGAATCTGAGTTCAGTGATAGACTTTCTTTGTGACACACATAGTCATAATGGAGTTCCTTCTAAAGAGACACTTCATATATGATGCATGTTGGAATCGAAATCTATGCTAGACCAAGGCATATGAGAAGTGGGGAACTAAATCAAACAAGAAGGGTTGACGAACCTCTGTAATAGGGGCATCCGAGCAAATGCACCAAAGGAAAATATGTACTTGAGACACAGCTCTCCACTTGCCTTGGCTGCCAAAGTATGGTACACATAATCTGCAGGAAAAACATCTTTCGAATTAGACTTGTAAGTTTGAAACAACTGGTTGCTAGTACAAAGGAAAACTTTTCAATTACCTGTTAGCAAGTTGGATTCAGTCTCACTCAACATCTCTCCATTTGCATATGCACCGAATCTAGCAGAGGTGTACCTTCGAACAATATCTGGACCCCAAGGACCTAACCCTCTGGATTAGGAAATATAAAGAGAAGACATGCGTAAGTAACACGCCCGGTTTCTTCCATCGAGAGAAACCCAACCAGGACTATAAAATTGGACCTCTTTGCCAATGGAAACAAAGTCACGAAGGAAGAGAATGCATACCTAACTACCTTTTGAGGAGTAAAATTTGACTCCCATAGATGATTAATAATTGCACCTTTCCACGTCGCTCTGAATTTGGTAAGCCATTCGGACTTGGAATCAGCTTCTGATGAAAATCCAGCCGATCCCACCAAAATCAATTGCTGAACATGCTCAGGATGCTACAGCATACGAACAAACAAATGTGGATGAGTACAGTTCAAAGGGTTTATATTTTGCCACCGGACACCCAAAATATTCAGTAACTACCTTAAGAGCATACTTAGCAGCTACATAACCTCCGAAAGAATGCCCAAGCAAGATGAAGTTATCTAAGTTCTTAGCCTTTCGCCATTCCTCAAAAGAGTCAATAAACCATGCTTCTGTTTCTGCATGATCAATTGAAAAACAAAGGTAAAATGCTTCTGCTTAGCTAATTTAGAACGCAAAAACAAGGAATTTTCTAATTTCGGAACCGAAATCCAACCTTCAGTGCTTTTGCAAGTAAAGTCAGGTCGACTGGATCCACCCCAACTGTAAAGAAAATTCTACAAAGAATGAGCAACAAAACAACCAAACCTCCTTCAATGATAAAGAGCAAAATCTGCCATCCACAAATGCCCCATTCTGAAAAATGAAGCCTTTCTAACAGAAACTGAAAGTGAGGTCCATCCACAAAATGCTACTCACGATTCAATTCATATAAGCTACATTACATTCCTACAGCCAAGTAAACCCTTACCCGATCTGATCAATGGCGATGACCTTGAACTTTGCAGCGAGAGCATCAAAATTTCGGAAGAAGAACCCTTGGGAAGCGCCGTATCCATGGACCATTACAAGTGTGGGAGCACCCTCTTTGCTATCGAAGGTAACTGTGTTGATGAACCTTGGCTCATTACTTGTAGAACGAAACCACCTGACCTTGGACCCTGGCGGCCCTGTACCTATATTAACTTGCTCTTGAACATAAGGAGTCCTGCAAAATACCCACCAAAATTTCCACATTATCATTACAATTCAAACCCCAAATTCCATACTAAGTACTCTAATGGCATCTCAAGAGCTAGCTGTATATGTTGTGCCTTGTAACTGAAATAGGGTTGGCAATTGAGAGATGACAACAAAGGGCTGGTCCAGAGGAAATTGAGTTCAATTCAATCCACCCAGGATTCGAATAAAAATGGAATCTTGTGGCAAAAAAAACCCCTTACTTGACGATGGAGAGAAGGCGCTTCTCGGCGGCGATGATGTGGTCGGTAGAAGTTGGAATCCATCGGAGTACGGAAGGCCACAAGGATCTCGTCTTCGCCCAGGAAGATGCCGCCGGATTTGAACCCTGGCTAGCAGCGGCGGTGGCGGAAGCGGCAGCAGAAGCAGAGGATCCCGATTCTTCCGCCATTACTCTTGATACGGAGAAGATCGAGGAAATCCGCAGACGAAACGGGCTCATGCAGATACCCAGCCCAAAAATGGAAATAACTCGCGGAATGAATTATCTTACAAACCTATGTGGAATCGAAATCGACGGCTGAATTGGTAACTCTCGTTTGGTAATCGCGTCAAAAAAGGCGGCTAAGAGCCGAGAGTAACTGCAGGAAGATGAAGGGAGGACGGAAAGGAAGGAAGAATACGGTTGTATTCGCGGGTAAACGCGTGGAGGGGAGTGATGGTATTAAACGACGTCGGCGAAAGAGTACGGATAGCGGAACAAGTCGGTTTGTGTTCCGCCTTTACGAGAAGCTACATCTTCTTACGTGTTCTGTTTAGTATCTTTTCCCAGTAAATTGGGTGGGAATTAGTAAATTGCAAATGTGATCACTAATAGTGGTCATTAAAATTAATTTAATATTTCAAATTTGGTCACTCATTGTTATTTTTTATTAAATTTGGTTAACTTCGCCAGTTTTTTTATGATGTGTCTAACAAATATGTCCAATCATCCAAATTTAACTCGAAAAACTTAAAATCCTACCCATAAGGCCATAACCCATCTGACTGATATTCAGGAGGAATGTGTTGCTCTGAGATCTTGGAGGTGTGGAGAGGTAGGGATGTAAGAGGGAATAAGGGTAAGCTAGAACTTGGGAGAGGGGACGAAGAAAGGATCATAGTTGATTGGGACATTTTTTAGGTCGGTTCGAGTCATGAGTTGGGTTAGAGTTTCTAATGTGGTGGGTTATATGACATATCGTGTCAAATTTTATAATTTTCGCATTAAATTTGGGTGACTTAACATATTTGTTAGGTACGTCATCAAAAAACTTACGTCATTAACGAAATCTGATGAGAGTCGAAAGGCAACGACCAATGACCAAATTTGCAATTTATCCAGGTGGGAATAAACCCACATGTGTGACGTAATCGGGACCTAGTTAAGGGTCAATAACCCTTAGTTTCTTTTACTAAAGGGAGGCAAAGCTGCCAGAGTTACATATTCCTAACGGCTAGAAAAAGGAACCAGTACAAAGAGAGCATCAATAGAATTCGGACCAGAACAGGGGAACAACAGAGTAGAACCACCCCATTAAGGGTCTTCCTCACGAATAACCTGCCTGGGGAAATTGACCCCAAGAAGATCCTCTATGCAAATTCGATCCACCTCCAAAGGGGGATCAACTAGCTCATGCGTACCGAAGGGATAGACGAGACTGTACTTCGAGAGCCAGTCCGTGACTAATTCCCTTCGCGATACGTATGAACTAGTCGAACAACCCATTCTTTAGCCAAAAGACATCTTATAGTTCCAAGAATCGTTGCGTAGGGGTGAACTCTGTCATTCCTCTTCTCAATGAGTTGTAGTGCAAGCTTAGAGTTCGTTTTGAGAATAAGGAATTGAGAGCCCTTTCTCCAGGCAAGTTCCAGCCCGTGTAAAATACCCCAAAGCTCTGCAAGGAGGGTTGTACCAGAGCCAAGTTTGTTGCAAAAACCACTTATCCCATCGTCGTCGTGGTCTCAAAGCACTCCTCCTGCTGTGACTATACCTGGGTTACTTTGAGTTGCGCCATCAGTGTTTAATTTATGACATCATGTCGACGGTTTATGCCACCCGATCAGCTCCTCCACCCTCCTCTGCTTCTTGTTCAAATTAGTGGCATGTTGAGCTGCTTCCCAAATTATCACCCACTTTATAGCCTTGGCCAGAACATAATGATGGAGCGTTGAAGTAGTAAGTTTAATCCCCTTGAAAATATCTTCATTCCTGCACTTTCAAAGGTACCAGAGAATTAAGCTGAAGAAGATATTCCACTGTCCTGGCCAATTTCCAGTTGAATCATCCATGATGTTTGCTTTGAGCCACTTGTCACAGCTGGTGTTGAAGAAGTTTTCTTTTCGTTGTTGCTCCAGAATTCTATTCCCGACCGATTTAGCCTTTCTGCAATCTCTCAGACATTGAAGGTTCGTTTTGCCAACGTTGATGCATTCAGGGCAAGAATCGTCCTGCGTTAAGTGTCGAAATTTCCTGATGCTGTTCGTGGTCAGCTTTTGCTGGGCTGCCATCCAAATGAAAACCCTGACTCTCTCAGGGACTTGCAGCTTCCATATTCGTTTCCAGATTGGACTAGGCTGCTGCTCTGGAAGTTGTTGGGTTGCATTGTAAGCAGAGTTGGCAGAGAAGTGATCGCTGACAGTAAGGCTCCAGAAAGCTTGGTCACCTTCATTTATCATTAGTTATGCATTTATCATTACTAGATCTGGTCCATTGATTTTGACTGGCATCAAACTTAGAGTGAAGATAAAAAGACTGGCATTTAGTTAGCTTGTATCTTCTTCACTTTAACCTGAATTTTGAAAATTTGAAGAAAATTATTTTATATCATCCATTACAACTCGTTACCTTTTTGGTTTGGTTCGCTCCGGGTTATGGCTCACATTACCAACGACTAACACTACGCCAGTATCGATGGCTCATTGAGCTCTCATTCCATATGTAAATTCGGATGCCACAACACAAATGTAACCGTGGGTTGTACAGTGCGACCAGTGAGCTGGTTCTGCCCCTCCCTCTGCTCCTACGACATACTCTCACAAGTCACAGCCATCTTAATGCATCCACACCATTAGTAATACTCAGAAGTCGAGCATCTTCGATAGCTATATTATTGTGGCAGCATACACGCAATGGGGAGTTTCATGAACAAATTCAAGCTCTAATCCAGAGAAATACAGCAGCATCAAGAGCGGAAGCAGAAGAGAAACTTATTACGACAGAGGCAAACCGTATCTAGCAGTACATTTACCAAGGTAAGAGAAGTAGTAATACTCAGAACTGCTTGGGCAAAGCTAAACAAAAATCTCAGGGAGTCTAAAATATCAAATGACTCGGTAATAATAATAAGGCAAAATAAAGATACAATCACCCATGGAAGAAGGCAGTGGTGCTGCAGTCTCCGTTTCTTTACTCGGCTCTGGATTGTCCAGCTCGGGATGAGAGGATGATGCCGACGATAAGCCCGTACAGAGCCAGCGCTTCGGCGAAAATGAGGATGAGGATCATCCCGACGAACAGCTTTGGCTGTTGTGCATTAGCCCTGTGGTAGATAAGAGTATTTACATGTTAGAAGAAGCTTCCCATGCCAAAATTAGGGGGAATTTTACCCAGGAAATCAATGAAAAACCGAAATGAAACAATGATTGAGTGCGAATTCCTTGCACCCCTAACAGTAGGATATCAGAATGATGCTCATTTAAGATACAAAGCTATCTTCTTTTACCAGTGACCATGGAATCGGAATCCGTTTTCAATTCCCTCACACAAATAGCATTAGCAGCAACACTTAGTAAACCTTGACAGCAGCCCTTAGAAAAATGCAATCAGTACAAACAATAAAGGCCGCAGATGCAATACAAGTTCCGACTTGAGATACTCTACCGAAAGCCTACATCTTTTTATGCAAGAGTAGAATGGAGGACAAACACAGCTTCTCAAGTTCGAAATTTCTTATATACCTGAGCTTTTGTTTGGAAAAAAACAAAGCTAGAGAAAAGCATCGAACACTGCATTTGGCAGAGATCAACACAAACTCACATCACAGAAATTCCAAGTACCCTGTGCAAAGTTCCAAACTATTTGGAACAGGAGATCATATGTTTACGCTGTGAGAAGATAAGCCAACTAGCTCCCAGATAATAACTAGGCAGATCTCCATTAAAACCATGTGGTAGAATGCACAAGGCTTCAATTATGAATATCAATAAAAACTTCAGTTTCAAATTCGCACTTTCTATTTAACCACACGGACTCTCCTTCAATAAAGAGATCAAAGATTTACCTCACTCCAGCATCGCCGACGATGCCGATAGCCATACCGGCGGAAAGACCAGCAAGACCACAAGCGAGACCGGAAGAGAGATGAGCGTATCCATCGAACAAGTAGTAAGATTTGGCTTTAGGGTTAATCCCGGTACTGATGATCACAGCAATAATCAAGCCGTAGATACCCAACACACCAGCCATAACCACTGGAACAATGGATTTCATCACCAGCTCGGGCCTCATCACTCCCATCGACGCCACTCCGACTCCACTCTTGGCCGTTCCATAGGCAGCTCCCATGCCTGCAAACCAAAAACAGAGGGGGGAAATTCACAATCCACAGATCGCTAAAAGATTTAGATCCCTCCTCCTAGATCTACCAGCGCCATACGGGATCGAGAACTACAAGATTTCGCGGGATAAATTGATTGAAATCGGAATCGAAAAAAGCTATGAAGTGATAGATTGAGTACTTACAGGAGAAGACGAGCGCGGAAGCAGCACCGAGGAAGCCGAAGAAAGGAGCAGTCTCATCGCCGCTGAATGTCGACGCCATTTTTTACGGTTTGCTTCGGATCTGAGAGTGATGATTGAACTCTGTTGAGCGGAGAGAGAGAGAGAATTGTAGTTCTGCCGGATGATGAAGCTACGTCACAAACAGCGACCCTCGTGAATTCTAGGCTGGGAAGAAGAGAGAGAGAGAGAGAGTCCAAAGAACAGAGAAACGTGGAGAGATTTATTTCTTCACGGACACTAAATTATAGGTGGAGGAGCCATTGTGGGCTTCAGGAAGCCCGATCTCACGGGAGCAGAATTGGGCTACCTTTATTGGGCCTGGTGGGCATATTAGTGACTCGATTGACTTTTTGAAGAGATTGGTGAGTATGATTCAGTTCGGTTTGAAATCCGATCAAACTTTAAATTAGACTGGTTTCCAAATTACAGTGAACAAAATATATGTTCAATCCTACTTAATTTGGTCCAATTTCGATTCAGTTCTATGAAAATCGAACCGCATTGATTATGAGGCATGGCGCTTCTTTACTTTTTTAATCGAGGTATGATAATATAATACGAAAAAAGTGGCTACTTTAGAACCTCCTCTCACAATAAAAGGAAGAAAGAAAAAAAAGTAGGCAACTCTAAACTAGACAAAGAAATGGCTTTTCTCACCAATCAACACAATTGGCAGTCATAGGACTAGCACAAAACTCGAAACTTATGTCTAAAATAGCTACCATTTGCAAGCACTCTGAGCACTCGTCCTCTAATTACATTAGACTCTGCCCCTTCGAGAAGTTGGTGACTGACGACCTCAGAATCTCCTGTAAATGTGACTCCTAGAGATTGATGTTATGAATCAAGAGCATATCGTCTCTAGCAGCTAGCAGTTCGGCCATGTATGGGTTCACAATCTCAGGATGCTGAAACCGATAATGAGCTGTTGACGGTCATATGTGGATTTCACCAACAAGCTCATAGTACAACCTCGATAAGGATGAACAACAACGTCGAAGTTGAGTATGAGGCGTTAAAGTGGAGGAGAAGATATAATTCAAGGCTTTGTAGCGAGGTGCGGAGGAGGAGGAGGACGGGTCGATGAGAATTCTTGAATTTGGTGAGCGAATTGAGCAGGGAGTACGGATGGTGGTACTTGAGTATCCTCAAAAACTAATGTGTTGCGGATTTCCAGATTCTTCACAGTAAGCAAACGACTTAAACCGTATGAAGAGGGTTGAGCATAGAATACATTAGTCCACGACGTGATTTAGGATGTATCCAACTCTAATAGTTGCTATAGTCGAGTAGCTAATGGCCATGTAAAAAATATATGTTCAAATGGCTCAGCACGAAGGCAACAAACCATGTAGAAGTTAACAAATGTGATGTCTCGTATCTTAAGGATAGCCATGACAGGTAACATAACTCTTATCGCTTTCTACATGAAGACATGAAGCTTAGGGGGAATTTCGAATTACCAAGTATTTTCCCGTCCACTCTACGCAGTGAAAGCCATGCATAAATAAATGTTGCACTAGTCACGCCAAGATCCACATTTATAAATCTAAATAATCCGAATAACAAGAGTCATAATCAAGTCGTGGAGGCCAAAAACCAGTTCAAGAGAGCAACACGAAGACAATAAACTTGTAATAGCAACAGGAGCAGCAACAACATATATCTAAGTAGTGCACTTTTACCATGATAGAAATAATACTAGTCTATCTGGTAGTAGTACACCCAACCACAGAGCTAAACCCAAAACAGAGTCTAACGAAATACCAAATCAAATTTCCCCCAATAAATAACAACATACAATCAACCAAACAATTGGAAACTCCTCAGTTTTCCTTCCTTCTTTACTCAGCTCTCGACTGTCCAGCTCGGGAAGATAGGATAATACCAACGATAAGGCCGTAGAGAGCAAGCGCTTCGGCGAAGATGAGGATTAGGATCATTCCCACAAAAAGCTTCGGCTGTTGTGCATTGGCCCTGCATAGATCAACAAAATATTCAATGTTAGGAAAATCCACGAAAATGAGTAGCAGCACAGGACTGACTATATCAAGTAGGGAAAGGCATAGAACTAGCTGCTTTCAACAGTGAGCATGACTGGAAGGCATTGAATACATGCAATCATGACATAGCAAACAGCTTCTTCCATGGACACTTACAGGCAAAAGAATGCCAAACACCAATTGGGTTTCAATAAGTTATGAAGAGGTAGGAGAATGAAAGTGGCACAAGAACATGAGCAACACTGACTCAGTTTCAATATCAGCATACCAAAGCAAACCCATCATCAAAGAGCACAAACATTAAAATGTCCCTTCTAGCCTCCTCGTCTAGATCTCCACAGCGACTACTGCTTATCAAGTAACTGCAATAACTCAATCTACATTCTACAGAGCTTCCGAGGGGGATGGGGAAGCAGAACCCCACACATGGAAGACCGAATCAGTGTATACAGTATGCAAAAGCTCGAACGCCATTTGGTACCTTATAACCAAAAGGTTTGAGCTATACAACAACGGCAACGAAAGAGATCTCTTTCACTACTTGGAAACTATAGCCATGAACATCTCTAGATGCAAATAAGTTACTACACTAACTCAATCTACAGAACTGGGACAACGGAAGTCTCAAGCTTTGAACTCTGCAGGAACCAATACACGTTCACCCCACATAGTATGCAAAGCCTTGAACATTATTTTCCAACCTAGTTCTACAGGGAAGCAGACTAATATTCGAACTTTGTACGTTATCGCAAATAGTGTCATCTCGAGATGAAACCAACACAAATAATCCTTCCCTTAATCCATAGTCAATCATAAATGTACACCAGCAATCTTTCACTCATCTAATCTCAGATTCACTGTCCCCAATCTGAATTTCCACATACACACCAGATTGCAGAAATCACAACTAGGGGCAGAACAACAAAAGGTCTGTAGAGATTGGAAGTATTACCTAACACCAGCATCACCGACGATCCCGATAGCCATACCAGCAGAGAGACCCGCGAGACCACAGGCGAGTCCGGAGGAAAGATGAGCGTATCCATCGAACAAGTAGTACGATTTGGCCTTAGGGTTAATCCCAGTACTGATGATCACGGCAATAATCAAACCGTAAATACCCAACACACCAGCCATAACCACCGGGACAATGGATTTCATCACCAACTCGGGCCTCATCACGCCCATCGACGCCACTCCGACCCCGCTCTTCGCCGTTCCATAGGCAGCTCCCATGCCTGCAACAACAACAACAAAATTTACACAACCGCAACTGCAGATCCAAGGTTAAATCCTACTAGATCTACATCAATTGAATCGAAAATCTCGAATCGAAAGCATTTTTTAGACTAGGTGATGGTTCTTACAGGAGAAGACGAGGGCGGAAGCGGCTCCGAGGAAGCCGAAGAAAGGAGCAGTCTCGTCGCCACTGAACGTTGACGCCATTTCTGGTATCTCTCTTTTCGCCGGATCTGAGGGAGTAAGTCGCCGCCGGGGGAGAGAGTAATCACGTCGATTTTGATTGGTGAAATGCTTCTTTTTCTTCTTCTCCTTCTTTTTTCTCTCTCGATCGATCCTCACTCGCGAATTCAAGGCAGAGGAGAAGAAAAGAACGAGGGAGGGAGGAGACGTATCCAAAAGCTGAACACACGTTTTATTGGACAGATTCATGCTTTCCATGATTATCGGCGTAGAGCTTATTGGGCCCGTGGGGAAAAACTAACTGCAGAGTTTTAATTTTACTAAATTGGACCTGACCATCTTGCTGGGCTTTGAGTAAACAAGGCCAGAAGCGGATTTAAGGCTCCTAATCTTGTATGGGAGACTTCAACCTAGGATTGTAACTAGCTTAGCGCCCGGCCGTTGGCCGGATTGCCAATAATTTGTCGAATTGCTGATAATTTCAATATAATATATTTATATTTTAATTTTATATAAACTAATCTGTAGCAAGCAAGATAAGGAATTGCATATGTTGTTTCTATAGCTACCTCAATAATTTGTTCAATCCAACTCATATCAATTTTATTTTACTTATATCAATGCAATGCAATGCATTTGCAATTGCATATGGTCTTAAATTATGTTAAAAAGAAGGAAAAAAAACAGAAAATTCTGTTGTGGAAGCCCATCATCTCCTTATTAGGGGTCATTTAACCTTTCATGTGTAATTGTATTTGTTGCAATATTGTAAATATGAATGAATGATTGCATCAATAAAAAAAAATTGAGTTGCAAAAATAACAGGAGAGCATCCAAAAGATGTATTCTTGTCAATTGGGCACCTCTTCAAATGCATTATGCATGTGTTCAGTGTTGCAAGGGGTGTTTGAAAGTTGAGATTCTAAAAGTTGTGTTCATTGAATACTTGTATTCCCCAAAATGCATGTGGAAGTGTAAAAATGTAAAACAATATATTTATTATTTTATGTAGATCTCACATATAATCAACAAAAAATAAAAATTGTTTAGTTGAAATTGATTTGATTGTTGGTTTTAGATTTGAGTCCCATTTTATTTATATTCCCTGTAATTTTTATTTTATATTAAAATTAGAGGATATATGTGAGTTTTCTCATAATTTAACTTTATGTAAATCAATCTACAACTACAACCTGAAATGTCAAAATATATCTATTACACCAACACATGTATTTAAAGTATAGTGATTTATTACAATACAAAGATTTAACATATATGTTTGAACCTAACTGAGCGTAGGAGTGAGGTTCGGGAAAGAAAGCGGGTCAAGGGAGGTAAGCAAGGAAAATTGACCGTGTTGAAGCAGAACCGAGATCTTCGGAAACAGGGATGAGAGAATTAGTCTTTAGAGAGAGAAGTCGATGTTTTTAGAGATAGAGTCTGAAAAATGCGATCCCCTCACCCCACCGGAGTAAATGCCATATTTATAGGCTACATGGTGGTGGGTGAGTGGTTGAATTACATGATGGTACCATGACATGACCACTGATATGTCAGGGGTGTAGGCCATGCCTATACCTAGGACATGTCAGAGGCTTACCTACGACTGTGCTTAGGACCCTGATGTGACTACCACTCGGGAAGCGAGACGACGCTTTCTGCGGCTCTTTGGTCTGGTCCACGTGTTGATCCTTCCACACGCGCGTAGCCCGTGCCGCGCTCGAGGTCTCCGCGCCGGTCCGCCTTCACATTGTCGCGCTCGAGGCCTTCGCGCTGAACCGCGCTGGGGTCTTCGCGCTGGACCGCGCTGGAGGTCTTCGGTAGTCGTTGCGTCCTGACGGGTTTGGCGGCATTTGGGGTAGTGTTGGTGTGTTCCTCTAGCGCGGCTAG